AGGGTGTGATTGAGTTAGCTATTTTGGTTTTACTTGAGAAGTTGAAATGTCCAAGTATTTAGTTTGAGAAATAAACAGAACAGATCCTAAAAGCTTGAATTTTGATTGGGAAAGTCCCAGTTTTCTTTCAACCCAAACCTCAAAATCCAATATGGCTGCCTTACATTTGGAATTTGCTCAAAGTTGTGCAGCATTCGTATCTCACTTCATGTTTTCTTCACACAGAGTGTTATAAAAATCTTCATCAATGAAGACGTTGCCATGGTAACTGAGAGAATAAAATGCACCAAAATAGAGTATTCTCATCCTTTAAGAAAATTACTGATAATCCAGAGTTTCCTCTTCATGAGATTGTTTTAGAACTCTGTTGAGTGGCTTCAGCCAGAGGCTTCTTCTGAACTGTAGTAATACAGACTGCTATTGGAGATGCTTTCTGCCCTCAGCCATCAACATCAACAACTTTAAAAAACAAAAAAGTCATATGAGTTACAAAAAACATTTAATTTATGAAGGAAATATTTTGGATTGAATTTAATTTATTGTTGGGACTTAATCAGGTTTCTGAATGTATTGTATACTGAAAACTACATTGAGTACTAAGTGGGACTGTCATTATAACATAATAACAGGCTCTCTGTCTCCCAGATGAGGTTTTACCCACTTGAGCTCAGATTCCTCGATGAAGCCGCTGTTGTCCTCGTCAAGGATCTGGAACACGTCTCGCACCTCCTTGGGTGTCTTTGAGGACAGACCACACAGCTGGAAGAACTTCTTATGGCAAAACGATTCTGGAGCTGCACAAGGACACACACAGACAAAAGCACGCACACACACTGTGAGTTTGCCGTGACCCTGACAGTCACCTGGTTGGTGGTGGCTGTGAGGATTAAACCAGCATGTGGCTGTGTTCTTGTTTTTCATTTTTAAAAGCCCACAGACGTGTCTGGTGCCACAAACAGAATGAATCTTTTCAGACTTTGATATAAAACAAAGTTTGGAGAGGATTAAACTCTTATGTGATGGAAAGTGTATTTAAGATATGCACAGCACCAAGACCTCACATTTGAAATATTTATTTAAACCACTATTGACTTGATCTCACAAGACTTTTGATCCTGTTGGGAAAATCAAGCTGAATTAGTGATTGAACGATGAGTAATTGTAAGCATTTAATAGGAAGCTGTATTTTCAAGACGAGGTACCTTCACAGTCCTTGACTGCATTTTCAATGGCCTCTGCTGAAAGAATGGAGGTGAGGGACATGTTGGTCCTATAACATACAAAAGAAAATAATAAATTGTGAATATGAGCACACAAAACCCAAAACACGACTTTAATGTTTTATGTGTTTCCTCTGGATCTATTTTTGTGTCACAGCGTTTCAACCTTTCAGCTGTAATTTAGTCGGCATCAGAAGTTTCCACAAAGACCTGTTTACATCTGAACATACTTTTGAAAAATACATTTGAAATATGTATTTTATTATAGTTTTACACATTCTTTTGCATTTATGCTGGCTTCATGTGCTTCCTCATTAACTTTCCACATTCTGAGGAGTGAGTGCTGCAAGTCTCAGATAGAAAACATTTTAAACTAATTTGAATGAGGTACTAAACTTAATGCACTGTTGAATAAGTAGGATTAATTGGAATGTTTGTTTGACTGAAATGAAATGACTCTTTTTAAAATGGCTGAAGATGACATTTGTTGTATATTACTGTTATATAAATAAACTGAATTAAATTAAATTAATAATTTGCAGAGGTTATGGGTTGAACTAAATAGAGATATAACATCATATTTCAGTGTGAAATGTGGATTTAAAAAACAGTATGTCACTTTACTATGCACCTTTAAATGATAAAAACAAAGTCGCTCTGTCGGGACAACATGATGTTTTTTTTTGTTTTGTTTTTTTGAGCTCATCCTCTACATAAACCACATGTAATGCATCAAAACAGGCTCAGATCATGCTGGAAGTTCCCAGTTATTGGATGCTTAATGCATGAAATGTATCAATAATAATTTGAGTTAAATGCACTTAAGCAGTAGCAGCAGTCAACTCATTGAAGAACACACATTTCTAAGTAACATTACAGTTTTAACAGCAGCTTTCATATAATCAGCAGTCAGCCTAATTTGTCTTCTCTCCTGTTAACTACCATGTTGATAAATTCATTGAATTTATTTGCATGTTGGCAAAAAATCTGGGTAAAGTTTTAGATACGAAGTTCCATAGTTCAGCTGAAGCTGCTGAGAATAAACGTCATGCTGCACCTGACCAACTTCCTGTGCAGCTGTGGGACTCACCACTGTTGACTCGTTCGTTTCAGTCCAACTCCAGGGCAGCAGCAGCAGCAGCAGTAGTTAAAACTCTGTGGTTCCTGTTGACAGTTGTCTTATATATTCCAGTCACAATGTTCAGAAGGATGCTTGAGTTTCTAATGGATCCGGGGATCAAATTCTGCTTCAGTCACAGCAGCCTGCTTCTCGGATTCCCGAGTGTCTCACCTGTCTTATTAACCTTTCCTGTTTATATCCAGTGTGTGAATCTGCCTCTGCCCTGCACTCCCTTAACTCTACTGGGAGGATTTTATCCAATCAACTTTTTTGCGCTTAGCATCTCTCCCCTCCCTTTTGTTGCCTGTCCATCCTCCCTCTGTTCAGGTGCATCTAAAACCTTTAGCAAATAATCTCCTAAATGTGGAGAAATACAGGTTATATAATCAATGTTGAATATTAGATCCTGTTTGATACATTACACTGGTTCCTTCCAAGTAAGGCTAGAAAGTGACAACTACATTATTGCCTGTTTACCAAATCTCAACCATTTTAAGAAGATTACAGCTTGAGATTACACCACTAAAATGAAAGATCTTAACATCTTTACCTGGCTGCTGTGAAGTGTGTGCAGAATCCTTGAATCACTGCTTCTATGACCCTGTGTCCTGGTGTGCTCCTGTATTAGTATTTCCCCATAAATTTCCTGTATTAAAGTAATCACACATCCACTCCCGTCATCCTACAAGTGCCACAAATCTTTATATTTTCCAGACATATAATGCTATTTTATAGCACATTCAAGTAAGTATTTAACTTTCAGTTGTTACACAAATGCTATATTTCAAACATGACTTAAAAGAAATTTGGCTTTGTAATTTAGCACCATGAGGTTGGGCCTCTGTCTCTTTTTTGCCTCTTTTTCTGCCTTTTTTGAAGCTCCTTCAGGAAGCCATCAAAACTTGGCTCCTTTATCAATTCTTTAACGACATTTTTACCAGAGTTGCTCCTACAATGAGATCAGAAGATTCACATAAGTTCAAAAGCACTTGATTAATCCCAAAGGAAAATTAAATAATAGTAAGATTAGTGTAGATTCACCAGCTGCTTGCTAATTGCTGCTTGCTAGTCTGAAGGAACTGAGTGGGGGAGTTGTGGACTAGAGCTGCTTTGAGGAGGAGCTGCGTTTTGAAGGTGGGGCTAGCTCCACCCAGGCAGATTGCACAGCTGAATGGTTGCCATGGAGATTAAAGGATTTCTCAAACATGGATGAAAAAGTCAAAGCAACACTCCAGGTATGTTTTTGATGAGGGAAGAACTTTATAACATGATGTAAAGCTCTAAAAAGTGGATTTCACATGATATAGTTGTTTAACTTTCAGATACTGAAGGTGGCCTGCACATTTAAATGCTGCTTCAGTGGGAAAAGCCAGATCACAACTGCTCCAGAAAGAGCAGTTTAATATTTTAAGCACATTTAAAATATTCAAATTGTGTTTTCATAATTTAAGAAATGATATGATATTTAAATGCGAGTGTCTGTTCAGAAAGTAGAGTGGGATCTAAGATGCTTTCATGCCAAAGTCTGGCCACTTAAACTGATGATCTTGTTGCCTGCCAGGGGAAACTTGTCAAACCATCTGACGCTCCGCCATCCCCAGAGACTGCAGTCAGCAGTAATGGCAGCAGCGGCGAGGAACAAAACTGCTTTTCTAATGAGAACCAGGGGAATAAATACTGCCTGCCCCACTCCACCTCCAACTTTCATGCATTACGTTCTATATGAATTCTTTTTTAACCTATTTCCTAAATCTTGCACTTAACACCTAATATCGTCTGATACACAAAATAAAAATGACTAAATGTGGAATTTTCTTGTCTTTGTATTTATTTAAAAAAAAAAAACTGTGTGACCAAATGTAGGTGACTTACTAGCACCCTCTTGTGGCTATTTCACATTAACACAGAGCTTCTCCACACTTTTGATACAGAACTGAAGTTCCAATGTGCTGACATTGTATTGCTTATACTAGGGGATTCAAAATGATTCTGTTTAGAGCAGAGTCTTCCTTATTACTTCCTCATAACTTTATGGCAGAGAGAGTTTATATGTCACTCTCAAAGAGTTCCCTGTGTTCCCAGTTCAAATCTAATTTGCTCATCCTCTTTGTACCTCATTAAAGCTGGAAGGACAAATATGATTGTAATGTCTTACATGGCACACAGTGGTCTTCCTGAAAATAATTCCATAACTTTTTGGTTTCTATCTTTAGTGATTCAGGGTATGGCTTGATATGCTTCATGTACTGTTCTTGTGACTTCATAATGTTTAACATTATTTATTACAAATCTAAAAATTCAGTCCTTCATTTAAGGAAATTTAGAGTAACATATATGTGGCCCCAAGTCTTTTAGGGACCATAAGCAGATTCTAATGTGGGCCCCCTCAAACCAACATGTCATCACCAGATGCTTCATCATTCCTCATATCTACAATCATTAGCATTGTTTTGCAAACCTCCCAATATTTTTGGATTTTGAAGTGCAGAGTGGTATTTAAGTATGCCATATTATTTCAGGAACTCAAAAGTAACACCAACTGATAATCACTAAATTTGCAATAAACAAGTTTGATGTCTTATATTTCCCTGATAGTAGAGGCAGCCAACAACAGGAAGAGATTTTACCTCAACAGCCTATTAAAAAACAGTTTCAGAACATTGTTATTGAAAAAGAACCTTTATTGTCTCATCGTCCGTCCGTTTTCCATAAAAGTGCATCATTGTTGATCTCACAGCATGCAAATCCCACACAGTAAAACGACGACAGAAGTGAGAGAGAGAGAGAAAAAGAGAGAGAGAGAAAGACACAAGTCAGCCACGCCATACATTTAGTCAGGTACATTCATCGTGGACAGCACTGGGGTGAGCACGGCCTGAGAGAAAGAGTTGTTCGTCTGGTCAGGGGGTCAAAAGTCAAATATATAAAAGTGTTGCAGAGTCTAATCGGGGTAGAGTGAATGGGAAGAGGAGAAGAGAGGAAGAGGATGTCTTTGGCTCAAGTTGTTCCGTTAGAGTTGTGAAGCTAGATGTTGGTCAGTTTGTCCATTTAACCTTTGACCATGGCAGCGAACTCTGCATGGAGAAAACAAGGAAGACATTGTTTCAGCGTTCACGCCTCATTAGTCCAAATGGGTTTGGCTTAAGGAGGAGCTTCCTCACCATCAACTCCGATCTTGCCGTCACCATCAGAGTCACCAGCCTGCAGGAAGGTCTTTGTCTCAGCATCAGTCAGAGCTCTGGCACTGGCAGAGAAGTTCTGCAGGAACAGCCTGGAGAGCAAAACCATGGAAGTTTATTGAGTGACATAACATCATGTTTTATAGTGTGCCTAAGAAGTGTCTTAGCTCATTTTCTTGGGGATGTTTTACAGAACTGTTTGATTGAGGACACAATTTGTGGAACCAATTAATTGGTAATCCTGCTATTCCTTGAACTAACTACTGGCTGGAGCTTTCCTGTTGCCTCTAGTGCTTGAAAGTTAAATATTTCTAAGTATTTTTTAGGATTTCTCTTGGACTATAGAGCAAAAGAGACATTGAGTTGCTGCCATAGTTTCTTTGGTTGCATTCTTACTGAATTTACTTTCATCGAGACAGTCCATATTGTAAACCTTCAAAAACTAAACTAAAGATTATTTACTTCAGCTCCTCCTCCTCAATGAAGCCGCTCTTGTCTTGGTCAATGATGGCGAAGGCCTTCTTGACGTCATCAGCAGACTTGGCAGCCAGGCCGACCTTGGCAAAGAAGTCCTTATGCTTAAAGGACTCAGCGGCTGTGATGAGACAGAGAGGAGGATCACGTCAGAAAGTCAAGAAATTATTCAACACAAACCTGCTGCTGGTGCACAAGTTTCTGTTTGCAAGGACTAGTATTTACTTGAAACAATTCTGTCTCAGCATCAGTCAGATGCTAAGCCAGACGTAAAAAAGGGTTAGCCGCAATGTTAATTTTGCTTCTTTTTCAGTGTTTTAAAAGGCTGCAGCATTTTAACTTGATGGTTGAAATAATATTTTAAATCCTCTGCCATGCATAACAGGTCTACTAATATGTACAGCTTTCTAAGTAGTTTGAAGAAAGTGGGAAAAAATGACTTGACAGTTTTATTACTTGGTTTACCTTGGCAAGCTGCAATGGCTGCACTAATGTCAGCATCACTCAGAAATCCGGCGAATGCCATTTTTAACTGAGGAAGAAGAGCAGAAGAAAAATCATCAGTCCAGGACATCAGCTTTTGGAACATCAAACACATTCAAACAGCTTAAGTCTGGACCAAAGAACATCTCAATGCACTTTGAGTTAACAACACATACACAACTACAAGTAATCTTCAGCATCTAAGGTAGTCCGGATCAGTAAGTAATCCAAGAAAACAAAACGATCATTTCAGGTTGTCCAGGTTTTTCGAAACCAAACCCTCCAAGAGAAAAGATCGAATCTTCTTTTGGTCTCAACTGGTTGAGTTTCCCCCCCCCTATTTTGTTTCTTTTCCAGTCCAAAGTCAGACACCGGGCCCCTGATGTTCAGAAAACAGACCCGTCGTTTGATTTAAATCCCATTTCATGAAGGAACACCCTTTGAACCACAGGACACTTCGCCTACAGGTCTGCAGCCCTTCACTGAAACTCACCTCGAGGTTATCTCTAAGACTAGAGAGGATTCGCTCAGATGAATCTGCCGACTGCAGTGAACACTCCGGCCGCTCTCACCGCCTTATATATGATGCGCTCGGTCGAAATTTGATGCATAGGCCATGTAACGGACACTGTGTGCGAAGAAGTCGGCTTGAAAAAATGTGTCAAGTAGACAGAGCCGTTCTATTTATAAGTACATAAATAAAGATGCTTAAATGGTAGGCCAAGTGTGGGCCCAAGCGAAAGTGCTTGATATTGCATCAGGCTAATAATAAACGCTGCTGATTTGGGTAAAACACACTGTGCTATCAGCCTGTTGGTCTGAGCCGCTGCTCGCAGAGTGAAGAGCGATCTGAGGCCTAGAGATGTATCAAGAGGTGGTTCATAAAATCACAAAGATCCAGCAGCATTGGTCTGTATCTGTCACTGGTTCTGCCCTTCAACAAGCCTTTTACTGTACTATGAGACAAAGCAGCGGCCGATTTAATATTTCTCATAAAGAAGGGTGAATTATTGACTATTTTGGGAGCGAATGTCTTCATGTCAATGTAAAATAGTTTTGGTAGGACTTCTAAATGACAGTTGGACGTACTGTATAGAATCTGCTGCAGCTGTTGTGACAGCACTGCAACAGTTAAAACATTATTGTCATAAGAGAACAACTATGAAATCTAAAGCATCACATTTCCAATCTACTAACTAATTATACTATTAACAAATTACAAAATACAATAAAAGCTTCTCAGCAGAAGATTAACATATCTTCATTACATACACATTTCAGCTGCTATCAGCCTGATGTAGTATTCAAATTTTGAATGTAATGCTTTGATTAACTGTAAGTAGAAAATCATCACAACTAACTCAAATGTTAGACTCACACAGGAATCAGGGCTTCTTGTGTGTAACTACTGTACATAATGTGTTTCACAAAGTGAAACATTTCATGAAATAAATGGACTTTTCAGTGAGAATTTTTTTTTCTAGTTCTCACCAATCACTCAACCCACACCCTTGACTTCCCGTTTAGTCTTTGCTCTGAAAGTACTTTCCTCAACAGATCTTTCTGGTTTTTGAGTTTAGCACTAAGTTTAAGATTTATATCGAACATCTCATCAAGTTGTCTCATTAAGTATTTTTGTAGTTCGATATTTTCCAATTCTGGTTCCATAGATTTGACCTGACACATGCACTTTGCTTGACTTGTGGAAATCACAGTGTCCTTGGAATAACACTGCTTTTCCAAGGAAGCTACCTTGGAACTGTCCCATCTTGCCATCCATCCATCCATCTTCTGCCACTTATCCAGGTCGGGTCGGGGGAAGCAGCTTAAGAAGGGAGGCCCAGACTTCCCCTCCCCCAGCCACTTCCTCCAGCTCCGGGGGAATACTGAGGCGTTCCCAAGCCAGCCGAGAGACATAGTCCCTCCAGCGTGTCCTGGGTCTTCCCCGGGGCCTTCTCCCGGTGGGACGTGCCCGAAACACCTCACCAGGGAGGCGTCCAGGAGGCATCCTAACCAGATGCCCGAGCCACCTCAACTGGCTCCTCTCGATGTGGAGGAGCAGCGGCTCTACTGAGTAGATTATGATGATGATAGAAAATTTCGGCCGCTTGTATCCGCGATCTCGTTCTTTCAGTCATTACCCAAAGCTCATGACCATAGATGAGGGTTGGAACGTAGACCGACTGGTAAATCGAGAGCTTCGCTTTTTGACTCAGCTCTCTCTTCACCACGACGGACCGGTACAGCGCCCGCTTCACGGCAGACGCTGCACCAATCCGCCTGTCGATCTCCCGCTCCCTTCTTCCCTCATTCGTGAACAAGATCCCGAGATACTTGAACTCCTCCACTTGGGGCAGGACATCTCCCTCGACCCGGAGAAGGCACTCTACCCTTTTCCGACTCAAGACCATGGTCTCGGACTTAGAGGCACTGATTCTCATCCTGGCCGCTTCACACTCGGCTGCGAACCGTTCCAGCGAGAGCTGCAGATCACGTCCCGATGAAGCCAATAGGAACATCATCTGCAAAAAGCAGAGATGCAATCCTAAGGCCACCAAAACGGATCCCCTCAACACCTTGGCTGCGCCCAGAAATTCTGTCCATAAAAGTAATGAAAAGAATCGGTGACAAAGGGCAGCCCTGGCGGAGTCCAACCCTCACTGGGAACGAGCCCGACTTATTGCCGGCAATGCGGACCAGACTCTGACACCGGTCATACAGGGACCTGACAGCCCGTATCAAAGGGCCGGTCCCCCATACTCCAGAGAACACAGGGCACCCCGAGGGACACGGTCGAACGCCTTCTCCAAGTCCACAAAGCACATGTAGACTGGTTGGGCGAACTCCCATGTACCCTCTAGGACCCTGTTGAGGGTGTAGAGCTGGTCCAGTGTTCCACGACCAGGACGAAAACCACACTGCTCTTCCAAAATCCGAGGTTCGACTATCCGACGGACCCTCCTCTCCAGTACCCCCGAATAGACCTTGCCAGGGAGGCTTAAGAGTGTGATCCCTCTATAATTGGAGAACACCCTACGTTCCCCCTTTTTAAACAGGGGGACCACCACCCCAGTCTGCCAATCCAGGCGAACTTCCCCCGATGTCCATGCAATACTGCACAATACTGCAGAGTCGCGTTAACCAACACAACCTACAAACATCCAGAGCCTTAAGATACTCCGGGCGAATCTCATCCACCCCCGGGGCCCTGCCACCGAGGAGCTTTTTAACTACCTCGGCGACCTCGTCCCCAGAGATTGGAGAGCTCAGTCCCCAGGTCAGCTTCCTCAATGGAAAGCATCTTGCCCTTCGATAAATTCAGCAAAGAAATTCAGGTCGATGTGAGGTTCTGGTTCAGGGAAGACTTTCCTCTGCTGGGTAAAGCTGCCTCATTACTTGGTTTTTCCGGCAGAGGACCGTTATTGACGTCACCATTTTGTGTCAAAACCGTTAGATCCACACAAGCATCTGACGGGGAAAGATTTCCATAATAGTGGCGTCTTCTTGATGCGCTTCGTCTTTGTTCTCTGTTTTTCCCTTTTTCATCCACTTTCTTCTGGGATTTGGAAATGGATTTCTGTTTGGTGACCAGCTATGTAGAAATCACAGGTTCTTCTTTACAAGACTCCTTTTTCAAGGAATCTTTCTGATCACCTTCTTCAGGTAGAGAAGTGTCCTGCTTATTAACACTTTCAGCACAAGACTTGAAGGACTGTTTCTTCTCTGGTGTCTCCTGCAGTACGGAGATCGATTCCTGTTTGGTAACAATTGAAGCGTCTTCCGATCCAGTACTTTCAGCTGCAGTCCTTAGATCAGCAGGTCCATGTTTCTCCAACCAGATATGAAATGGTATCTTTTTCTTCTTGTGGCGCCTGGTCGTTGGTGGCTGTTCCTTAGACTTAGAGGGCTGTTCCTTCTCTGCCATATCGATCGTCTCCTGCACTCTAGCGATGGACTCTTCTTCACTCACCAGTGACTCGTTCTGCTTTTCAATATTTCCTGCAGAAATCTCTTGGTCAACAGGGACGTGTTCCTCCAAGCAGGTTTTAAATGGTACCTGCTTCTTCTCATTGGACTCACTCTCAGGTGTCGGTCTGTCTCCTTGTTGATCCACTGTCTCCTGTGCTTTGGCAATCGATCCTTTTTCAACCACCAGTGAAGCGTCCTGCTGTTTGATATTTTCAGCAGAAATCTTTAGCTCCTCAGGCGCGTACAGCTCCCACCACACTGCAAATGACACCTTCTTCTTCTTGCGCTTGGGTGGCTTGGGTGGCTGTAATTCCCTTTCGACAATATTGTTGAATTCAACCTCTTTGACTCTCGGCTGGTTGGACTCCATTGTAACCTTGGCTTGTTTCAGGTTCTACGATAAATCACTTCTCTAGAAACGCAGTAAAGGTTTGATGTCAATCTCCAAAAGAAATGAGCACCAAACAAAGTTGGAAATCTTACTGTGAACTGCGAAATAAATTCTCAAGAGACAAGTATCAACAACGGCTGCTAAACGCTTGTGATGAAAGTAGATCTATGTGAGGAGCTTATAATCATTGGTGATGTCAGAATTCTGCTTTTGGAGTTATGTTGTTATGTCACATTGTGATGTCACAGGCTTGTCTAATGGACTGCAGAAAGCATCAGTGGGTTTTAAAACTGGTTTTCATAGTTACCCACCATTACTTGTTGTTTTGACGTTGGTTAGCATGTTGTCAGCGTAGCTAGCCTGGGCTACAATAACTGTTCAAAACTGAGTAATAAAATAAGTTCAGGGGGCCCGCCACAATTTGTTTTTTATATTAATTAAGCAAAATAACAAAATTAATCATATTGTGTTTTCTAAACTAGTTTTTATCAGTAAAAATGAAATGCTGGCTCTCTCAGACCAAAAAGCACACATCCATATTTGCACTGAACCTCCTGATCTGCATGAAATGGTTCGTTCCTGCTCAGCAGAAGTCAGTAGAAGACAAGAACGACTGTGGAGATCATTTTGCTACTAAAAACACTGAGAAAATCAAGTATTAAAAAAATTGAGAGATAAGAGAGAAAAAGACAAGAGAGTCAATTTATAAGCCAGTTTTTCTCTGAGAGGTGGGTCGACTGTGTGAGATGATCAACCATTCAGCATAGTTAGTTTAGCACAGGGTACTGTATGCCTCCATTTCACTAGCATTTAATGAGTTAAGGAAAATAATTACCAAGATTCATATATTTAACTTGTCCCTGCACCTTTTACCACTTAACAACAGATGAGTCAGTCAGCAGCAGCTCTAGTTCACGACCCTCCTGACCTGTCCTCTAAGTGAAATTAAAGCTGCAGTATGAAACTTTTTTTAATAATTTTTTTACATATTTGTTAAAACTGCCTTTATATTGTGACAGTGCGGCTTGAGAGATAATCTGTGAAACATCAATTTCCTCTGTAAAACAACAGCATCTATAGCCAGACTTTCTACTTCACTTTCTGTTTCATTACTTTTGCTTGGTGAAATTGACTCCAATAAAGTATTTCATAGTATTTTTTAAAAGCGTTTCAAGGATATAATCACTTTTTCAAGAAAATACTGTCATACACTAACTTAATTTTGCAAATAAAGTTTATCTTGCAAAAACCGAACACAGAAACCC